GCTCCTTCTTTCTCTCTGCAGCATAGAATTCCATTGTGTATATGTACCACAATTTTTTGATCCATTCATTTACTGATGGGCACCTAGGTTGCTTCCAACTCTTGGCTATTGTAAATTGTGCTGCTATGAACATTGTGGTGCATAGGTTCTTTGATATTGATGTTTTAGGATTCTTAGGATATAATCCTAGCAGTGGAATCGCTGGGTCAAAAGGCAGGTCGATTTTTATTTTTCTGAGAAAAAAAAACAAAGACACTGAAATAGAGAACAAGGGGATAGTGACCAGAGGGGAGAAGGAAGGGAAGTTAAGGGGAAAAAGTGGGAGGGATTTGGAGGAACAAATAGGAAGGACACAGGGACGAGAACTAAGGGGGGTGGAAATGGGAGGGAGGTGGGGAGCAAGGGGCGGGGGAGGCTGGGATGGGAAAAATAGACAAAAAACTGTACTTGAAAAATAACTAAATAAAATTAATTATATTAAAGGAAAAAATATATTAAAAAAACAAAAAAACCCAACCCCCCCCAAAAAAAAACAACAAAAAAAGAGAAATGTCTGGCTTGCCTTTAACACAGATTTGTTATGTTTTAAAAAGTACATGTGAAAGCGCTTTATCACAGCAAAATCCTGTGCAAATCAGTTTTATTTTCGGGTACCATCTGAAGGGGAGCTAATGATAGGAATCTCCCCACTTTGGAGTTCTGACTGCAGCTCTGCTGGGGAAGACAAAGTGCATACAATTTCCTGACAAATGACTTTATGCTCAACAGAAAATGCTGCTAACATTTCAAGCTCGCAGAGTAATTGTGTAGAGTCTTTTTTTTTAATCAACCGAAAATTGCTTTTCTATATAACCCCACAAAGACTGCTTCCTGGGATTACCGTGAAGCGATCTATTATGTTTGAAGTTCTGTCTGGGTGACTTATTATTTTTTTAAAAATTGGGCAGACAGCAATAAGGAGCGAATTATTTTTGTTCTCGTAAAACAGATACATAGCATTCTGTAGCAGCACAGCAAGCAAGTGCCGCGCCTCAGCAAGCAGGGGGTGCACAGACTGAGAAAGAGAATTTGTTAATTGTTGGTTAAGCCCCAGGTGTTAATCCTTCACCTCCTGTCTTCCAGCTGAAGGGGGCGGGGAATTCAGAGAGTCTGTCTCAGCAGAGAAGTAGAAGTTCATTGTCATGGAGAAGATGAAGAACTCTCTGTGATTTCTTTCTTAGAAAATGCTCTTCCATATATGAAAAAAAGAAATGTGCCTGAGTTGCGATGAGAAGAATCTGTAGTTATTTTAATCATGCACCTGCTTTGCCTTTTATTTTGTTCTAATAAAAAATTCGCTTACAGCTGACATACAGTATTACATTAGTTTCAGGTGTACAGCATAGTGATTAAACATTTCTATAACTTACGAAGTGATTGCCCTGTTAAGTCTAGTCCCCCCACCTGGCACTATATGTAGTCATTACAATATTAGTAACTATATGCTCTACTGTACATTCCATCTCTGGGACTGTTTTTTTTTTACAGCTGCTAATCTTTACATCTTAATCCCGTCCCCTTTTTTGCCCAAACCTCAACACCCCCTCCCATCTGGCAACCATCAATTTGTTCTCTGTATCTATGAATTTCTTTTTGTTTTGGCTTGTTTTGTTCTTTACATTCCACATATAACAGAAACCATATGGTATTTGTCCTTGTTGGACTCATTTCACGTAGTACAGTGCCCTCTAAGTCCATCCACGTTGTTACGAATGGCAAGCTTTCGTTCTTTTTTACGGCTGAATAATATTGCACTGCATGTATGCACCACATGTCTTTTCTCCATCAGCAGACCCTTGGGTTGCTTCCACAGTGTGGTTAATGTCAGCAACACTGCAGCGATTGTAGGGCTACATATATCTTTTACAATCAGTGTTTTGGGTTTCTTTAATAAATAACCGGACGTAGAATTGCTGGGTCATAAGGCAGTTCTATTTTTAATTTTTTTGAGCAACCTGCACATTGTTCTCCAAAGCAGCTGCACCAATTTGCATCCCGACCAGCAGTGCAGGAGGGGTCCCCTTTCTCCACACCCTCACCCAGAGAAACCTGCCGCTTGCTGATTTATGGATTCGGGCCATTCTGACAGGTGTGAGAGGAACTCTCATTGTGGTTTTAATTTGCATTGCTCTGATGATTAGTGAAGTTGAGCATCTTTTCGTATGTCTATTGGCCACTTGTATGTCATCTTTGGAGAACTGCCTATTCAGGGTCTCTGCCTATTTTCTAAGTGAACTGACTCTCTGGTGTTAAGCTGTATCAGTTTCTTATAGGTTTTACTTATTAACCCTTTATTGGATGTATCCCATTGGCCGTATCCTCCCATTCAGCAGTTGGTCTTTTTGTTTTGTTGGTATTTTCCTTTGCTGCACAGAAACTTTTCAGTTAAATATAGTCTCATTTGTTCACTTTTTCTTTTGTTTCCCCTCGCTTTTTAGTTTTGAGGAAGTTTTAGTCAGAAGGGAAGTTTAATGATATAATGTAAAGCGGCTTTGTTCACACTCACATTTATCTGAAATGTATTTTAGCTGTATTTCCTGCCAGGCCTGCTAATTAGTTTGATTAGAGCAGCTTTTCCCAGTATCAATAGATAGAATAATGGCTACTCCTTTATCCTATTTTTCATAGTTGAATGGGGAAAATCATATTTGATTTAAACATTTAAATATTAGATTTATTGTTTTTAGGTTTTTTTTTTAAAACTGTAGAAGCTTTGAAGTGTCAACGTGCTCTCCGGCTCCCCCAGAGGGCAGTGTAGTGGAAGTGTTTTCCAAACTTATTTGATCATGGAATCCCTCACTTAAGAACTAGTCGGGAACAGGTATGCCCCGGGACATGTGTTAGCAAACCCATCCCAGGCATTGTCAGGTGTGCTAACCACCAGAGTCTGAATCATTGAAAGTGGGTCAGAGAACAAAGCGATTCATTAAAATTTCATGGGAATCAGGGTGGGGGGCTTCCTGAAGGAGGCGGCAAACCTCAGCAGGCAGCAGTGGTAAGTGGGAGCTTTTCAGGTGGGGGATGTGAGCAAGGACACAGATGGGTGGGGACACACTCTGTTCAAGGAGTGGCAAACGTCTTGCTATATCCGCAAGGGGATCCTCTTAGGTTCAAGTAAACATCCCCCAGACAGCCACAGACCGCAGCTGGCCCCAGTCTACTCAGGAGAATGTAGGACAGGAAGGACAGAGGACAGGGCAGCACCAGGCTTTCTGCTTTATAGTTGTAGTCATGGCAACAGCCCATGCAGGTTGTTTACACAGCTGTCCACTGTTTTCTTTCCTTTCCTCCCCAACTGACAGCTTCCGTGCAAAGGAATGAGTCTCCTGTTGGGTAGGTGAAGGTCTCCCGGCTGTACACCCCCCTCCCCGCCACCCAGCCACCGCCTTAGAAGCTCAATGCCCCATTGGAGCCAACAGCTCTTGTCATACCCCATAGACATTGCTTCCAGTGTCCCCATAGGGGACATGCTCAGTTACAAGAGTCACCACACTGAAGTCACAAATATGGTTTCTTTCCAGGTATTGTTTCTCCCCATCCAGATGTCATTTATCAAAGATCATTTTAAACATAAGCAATTTGGGCTGTGTAACATAGTTGATGTAAAGCTCTTATTAGATGTCCAAGGGAGCAGAGCCTGGATGCTAACCAAGAATGTTAACCAAGGTCAAATTCTTTTTCAGAAGTTGTGCCCTTTACACTCAGCTCTTAGCTATTAAGCCTGCAAAGACTATTGGGCGAATTATGTGGGGTCTTGAGTTCCACACTGAGGAGCATGGATTTAAGCAATGTTTAGTTTTCCCCTATTTCTTACCCTAAGCAGGGAACATGGAAAGACGCTTTGTATTTTGGTGTAAAACTAGGTACGTTGGTAAATATTGCAACATATAAATAGACTTCAGTGTTAGTCTACCTGAGAAGCTTGAATGCAGGGACACATGTGTAACCATCTTCGATGTGACATTAATCTTCTTAAACAGAAAGGAGTATGTTGTTCCAGTCCTCTCCCTTTGCTCCAGATTCCCTAAAGCACCCACATATGTTTACATGATAAACTTATGATGTCATAAGGCTGGTTTAGCTTATGTAGGGAACAAAAATCTGATGTTAAATGGTGACCCTTGTTTGATGGACGTTGAAGCAGTATGTGTTCCAAAGTCGTAGTGAAAGAGGAGACACAATTTTCCAAACTGTATTTCCACATAAGGAAGAAGGCAGCTGAGGCTTCACCTGCGCACGGTTCTTTCAGGCAACGGTGGCTCCGAAGGCAGAGGCAGAGGTGGAGAATTTTTTTTCCTGCAGTGAAGGTAACCCTCTGGTATTATGAAAAGTCACAGCTGTTTGCATCCAACTTGCTAAAGCAAAAACTAATTGCTCAGGGGCCTTCTCAGGGCCCTGACAGACTCCCACTGCCCAGGAGACTGTTACTTGGTGAAGCCCACCTGGGGCCTCCTGCGGGGGAACCGGGGCTGCCCCACTTCCCTGCACTCTCAGGCTCCTGAACTACCCACCTCAGTGCCTCCCTCCCAGGCCCAACTTCCAATCTGCTTCCCTGGTAGCGCTGTGTGCCTGGTAGCCCCCTTCCCTCCTTCAGGAGACATGCTCAAGCTAGAAATGAAGCTGAAAGACTCAAGCTTCCCCTCCCCCTCCACACACGCCACACATGCCACACAAACTCGAATGCATCCAAAACAGGACTCCGAGAGCCCCAGAGGGTGCAGTCCAGACAGGCCAGCAGGGCGTTTGTAGGTCGGGCTCCTGCTTCTGCACAGAAAGATTGGGAGATGCCTCCACCGCGTCTCCATATTCCCGCACAGAATAAGAATCTCCATACTCCTGTCCATGTGTTTAAGCCAACCACACCGAGGTCCGCTTACAACAAGAAGGACTTGGTGTGAAGTCAGGGGCAGGATGCTTCCTTTGCATGTGTGTGTTTGACAAGAGACGCAGACCATCATGAATCCAAGAAAATAAATTTATTAAACTTCGAAGGAAAAAAAATCCACAGACATAAAGAAAGTCAAATATATAAACTGCGGGACACAACTAGTCATACTAGTGAATAATGGCTTGTGTGGCCAGCAAAGTACCAAAATGACATTCTGAGACTGATTGAGGTATTTAGCTATTTTTGGCGAGAGAAATGTTGTCAGCCTATTGTGAAACAGTAAGATAGTTTTCCCAAACACACAGTTTTAAGTTGAATTAGGTTCTACAGCGATGAACTTTTATATGAAACTAAATTATGTAGCTCGTAGAGAAAACCATAGCAGCAAAGTAGCGGAAAGTCTATGAAACATCAATTGTTACAAAGGAACATGTTGCACTTTAAACACCCAATTCAAGCTCTTCACTGTCCTTGCGAGAAATAGGGGACTTAAAATTGCCAACCATTGGGCTTATTTCCTAAAAAGACCTATGCTAAATGGCAAATACTATTCAACTTAAAGCGAACTTAAAAGTTTTATTCACCTTAAAAAAAACACTTAAAGTGAGAAGGCTTCTTCACTGAGATAAGATTCTTCTCCTTTTGATAAAAACTCTTGGGGGAGCTGTCCTGATGCTCCAAAGCATGATGTTTAGGTTATTAAGGGACTGAGCGATAATTCATAAATGGCTTGGGCCCCTTGGTTTTCTTCTGATGATCTTCCATTCAAGGGGGAATAAAAAATGATGTAATATCTTCTTCTACTACTTTAAATAAACCCTATACAAGGCCGGGCACGGAAGAGAGTTTGTGCTGTTGGTGTGAGTAAACGTGGAGCTATCGGTGGGGATTTAGAACCACGTGCTCCTGTTTCTCCTCATCACCGTAAATCACGAGTCTGCGTCCGGCCCGATGCTTTGAGACAAAACCCGTTTCCTACACTCTTTACTCCTCCGTCATCTGCTTAGTTTCATTATGACCTGCTTTGACTTACATAGTGCTCCCTGCACCCCACTCCCTGCCTGGGTAACTCGGGGGGAGCGCGGGCTGCGCCTGCCCAGAGCCTGCAGCCCAGGGTCTGGGCTTTCCTCTCCTGACCCTGCACACTGAGCCCCGCCCGCTGCACCGCCCGCTGCACCGCCCGCTGCTTGCGCGACTCTCCCACCGTGCCCTCCTCTACCTGAACCAGCTGTCACTTCCACTTCTCTTAGGACCTGGTGCTCTGGCGTGAACCGCGATTGGGGGAAGAAAGGGTTTTGTTGTGTGTTTGCTTTCTGGTTCATGATACATGGGCCTGTGCAAACATTTTGAGAGATTCCTAAATGAACAAAGACTGGTTTAAAAAATTCAGCTAAGACGAGCATGGGTGACTCGTCGTTTGGGTGACTACAATCATTTCAGAAGTGTTTCAGGAGTTTGGGAGGTATAAAAAGGGCTCTGTAAAAAACTAACTTGTCTATTTGTTTTCTGGAGGTGCGCTGACCAGAGCCTCATGCCAGCTTGCGACTGCTGCTGGCGTGTCCTTCCGATGGGTCCACCTGCCCGTCAGCACACAGTAGGTGGTGTGGTATAAAACAGCCATGCTTGAAGTGTGCATATGAAAAATATCGTCATCAATTCTATGTCAAAATAAATCTTACATATCCAAACTATTTTTTCTCTTCATACTTGTATTCCCAGCTCCCAATCACATTAAAAAAACAAAACTAGCCTGTGCTATACTGTGCATTCGATTTTCCTGAAATGCAAAAGCCACCTGATTGTTCGCTTTTTCAAAAAGCATGATTTACCTCTACATTAAAAATACAGCCATTCAATGCATAGCATCACAATAGTAACACCCACGATAACAAGACAATCACTAAACAATCTTTTGAGACAATTCTTTAAAATATTTACAATTTGCAACAGGAATATCTATCTGATTAAGTGTTCTCATTATTATTTTTTAACATCATGTTTCAACATTTCAGGAAAAGGCATTTAGAAGCCACGCTCCCCTCCCCCCCCCCCCCCCCCCCCCCAGCCCCAAAAGATTTAAACATTGTTTTGGTTTAAGCACTCAGGCCCCAGCCCACTCTTTGCCATTAAATATTTAGCTCACGGGAAATCATATCAAAGGCTACGGCATGATTTTGTTCAGTTGGTCTGTGCTCACATAGCCACAAGAGGACAGGAACTCTTTGTCGGGCAAGGGCAAGGCCATGGCGTTGAGTAGGAGGCCCCGCGGAGACTGTACTATGTGAATGGAGGTATAGTCTGGGACGGGCGTCTCGGAGCTCGGGGGCCGCTCTGAGGTCCCAGACCTGCCGGCAGTAGTGGTAAGGCTTTCTGTGGTGATGTAAATGTCTTCCTGGTTAAAGCTGGGCTCTGCACGGGAGTCGACCTCCACATGCGGGGCCGCCGCGATGCACTTCTTGGCATCTGCCTCGCAGAAGTAGGCGTTGTCCATGATGAAGTTTGCTTGGCAGAACGAGACCGCTTCTGGATGCGGGTCACACTGGGGTATCCCTGCCTTATTCTTTTGGCCCGGGGAAAGGACCACACTCCCTGCTGGTGTGATGTCGCTTACCTGGGCGTAGAAGTCAATGTTGGCCAGTGAGCTCGGATTGCTTAGCTGAGCATGGGCAGCCGGATGAGTTGACTCAGCATCACCGAGAAGAAGTGGTCTGGGTTTGTTTTCCTCTGCTAGGATAACACCGGGCTCCTGAGTAGCAGGGGGAGCATCACTGAAAGGCAGGTTGTTTTGATTCTTCATATCAAGGCACAAGAGATCTGCTTCCCCTTTTAACCTCTGTGGCTTAGCAACCTCGGAGGTACCATCGCCCACGTCACCAGCATCAAAATCAGCCTCCAGAATGTCTGGGTCGTAACAGCTGGTACGTCCAGAGTCATCATCCTTTGCCCCGAGGATGTGAAGTGATTTCTGACGGTCATCGCTCAGAAGTCTGTCTGTGTCTGATCCTTCAGTCTTTTCATCAAGGTCATCGATATCTAGCTCAATGAATTCAACCCAAGAGTCATCATTATAGAATTCGGGTTTATAGGTGTCGTGAACAGCTAAGATTGTGTTCACCTCTTCTAATTTTCCTTCCTAGAACACAGAAAGAAAAAGGAAGATCTATGCAGAGAAACACATCGTGGCTAAGGGATTTAATTATGGTTATAGTAAAGACAACAGTAACAGAATCATGTAATAAAAAATACATAATAGTGAAGAAGTTTTAAATATGTAAGACATCATTTTAAGAGATGTAGTATTTGAAAAATTTTTTTCTCCAGAAGGAGTACAAAACATGGAATGTGTTGCATATAGTTTGCAAAAGCTCTCAACGCAAGATGATGTTCTTCAGGTATCATTTAATTATTGTTATCTATAACTTACATAATTTGTTAATTACCTTGAAGAGATCTGGATCGATTCCTTTAATCTTTGGAACTGGAACTGGAGGCAGAATCAGCATCTTAATCCTTGAAGACAATTAAAATTTTGGTTGGATAGATCTTAAAAATTGTGCATTCTCTTATTTTCAAAAGACAGATGTAAAATATTTTTTTACAATGTGATACAGGGTGATACAGGGAGCAGCCAAGGGGGGCAAAAAGGAATTTGGAATGGTGTCCAGAACTCAAGGTGTATAGGAATATTGGAGAGACATGTAAGATGTCCTCACTTCACAGGTGTAAGTTGGGGGGAAGGGACACATGGGGCAGGAACATGCAGGGCTGTTTTGTACAGCCACAGCCTTGCAGCTAATCCATGGCATGGTCATTTATCATATCTATAGCCTTTGGAGGGTCACTTGGATATGTTAAATGGCTGTGGCCAGGCTTGGAGCCAGAGGGATGAAGTCAATTCCCCCCTAAGATGTAACGGGGGGGGCAGGTCCCCCAAGTTACAGGACATGGGGCCATACCTGCGCAGACCCACAGTGGCAGCCCAGTAAACTTGTAATAATACAGAAATACTGGCAGGTATAACTGATTGTGGGAGGAGTCAAAAATAGGGGTACAGAGGAAGATTGGTGTGGGGATTTAAACCCAGACACCGCAGCCATTGAGGGGAGAGCCGCGTGGTTTTGGGCAGAGTGAGGACCCCCCTCTTGGCCAAGTGAAGGAGAACCATGTGGCTTTGCCAGAATGGGGACCCCTGCAGCCAGCTGAAGAAGAAAGCCATGCGCTTTTGGTGGAGCGGAGACCCCTGCAGCTTTGGTAGAAGAGGCCCACGCTGCTTTGGGGTGCTCCCTTTAGCTGAGTGGCCTGGAAAGCAGGAGAGACTTTGCCTGGAAAAATGGGTACAAAGGACTCTTGCCAGTGGATCATGAGAAGGTGCCACAGTACTCTGGGTTAATTGGAGATCCTGCCTGGATGGCAACACAGCTGACGGTGCCAGCGGCCTGGAAACACGGACGTGTGCTCTTTTCCTGATTTAGGATACCGGGAGTTAGAACAGGGGGAGAAGGGAGCGCTGTGTGTGTAGGTGGATGTCCTAAGGGACTTTGATATTTTAATAAAGACGTTAAGTCTGTATAGCATCAAATACACATTTCCTTTCCTTTTCACAAATCTCTGGCATTGAGAGATGTCTTTCACAGATGTTCGGGCCCCACAGGTGGTCCGGATGGTATTAGTATACCATCCTCTGGAGTCTGGGCTCTGGTGTATCTGTTCTGTGACAGTTTTTGGTGTCCCTGGATGGGCCAAATATTGAGCCCCTTGGACCTCTGTTTTGTAACATTGGCACTACTATTACTTAGTGCAAATATTTTGGTAACTTAGGAGTGGAATATGAGAAAAAGAAGGAAAATATTAAGCAGTAAATGATAAGGAAAAACGATAGAAGAAAAAAAGAACAAAACAATAAACAACAAAAAGCTGAAGTCAATTTAAATAAAATGTGGCATTCCTACAATATTTTTTCCTCATTTTTTAAAATTGACAGCATTAGTATCTGGGAGTGAGAAATTTGATTCCATCTAAAGCCAATTTCCATTTCAGTTATGAGAAAAGGTAATTTGAATGTATAGCTGCTCACCAGTACTTTACAGAGAAAAGGAAGGGGAGGGAGGGAGGAAGGAAGGAAGGAAACCCAGTCCACATGGAGCCCAATCAGGGTGGACTGAGTAAGTTTGCACCACACAGCTCCCATTAATTATAAAGTTATATACGATGATCTCATTAACTACAGCGTCCCTGCCGGGTTCATTTCAGTTGGACACACGAAATTTGAGCTATCTCTGGTCAATATACGCACAATTCTGTGATGCACTTAAATTTCCTGTGCGAAAATTCCCTATTTTATTATAAACACCCTGTAGATAAATTTTTAGTTCAAAATCAAAACAGCATCACATAGCAAAACATGGACCTGCAGGCTGGACCTGGCTTTCTGTCTGCCCTTCTGTTTTATGCTAATTACGCAATTTCTTTCCTGACTCAGACCCGCTCCGAGGCTGGGCGTGAGTCATACTGTGGGAACGACAGAGCACAGAATAAAATAATCCTGGCAAGAAGCTATGTTTGTGACTTCGTATCCCTTTATTTAAATTTAAATTACATTACAAGTTTTGCTAGAGCTGACTGGACTATCTGGATTAAAAATAAAGGTGAAGTGCTTGGGCTGTGGACTCACAGAACTGCAAGCAAAGGCTGGGGGACCTGAAGCTTTTCGCAGCCCCGAGGCTCTGGGAAGCCTGGCAGAACCCGCCTTCTAATTACCGTTTAATTGTCAGAACCACAGGCTCCTTCCACACCCGCTGACATATAAGTTCTGCCATGTCCTGCTTTCATTAAAATGTGAAAATTCAGGCAAGATAAGCATTTTTATGGGCAAATGAAAGAAAGAAGTTAATTCTTTTCTACAAAGAACTAGTCCTAGCATGGGAAATTTGGACGTACAAAAAAGATTTCTAGAAACTCTACAATTTGGTGATTTCCAGCAAGCTTTATAGTGGAGACCTTCATTATTCACTGAAAACACTCTTTAGACAGAGGTGAATATATTTGCTTTGAAATCCTATTTTTTGAGAGTATTATTTTTTCTTTGAAATATTATTAGTTAATATATTTAAACTACATAACAAATGTACTTAGGCTTCACAATGACTCAGACAGCTAACGTTAAGAGTAAATTACTTTGGGGGAGGTAGAGATAGGAGGGAGGTGGGGGGTGGGCTGGGATGGGGGTAAAGGGCAGAAAACTGTCCTTGAACAACAATTAAAAAAAGAGTAAATTACTTTATATACATCATAGTTTAATCAGCTGCAGTTACATATAAATCAGTCCTTCAACTGTTCCGATCGATGAATTCAAATTAATCAACATTATAATTTGGCTCCTTGGTTGTTGGTATTACTTAAATATATAAGTTGCTCAACATTCTACAGATTTATTGATTTTTTTAACTTACTTTCCCCCAAACACATAACAATTGTGTTCTTAAGACAGAACTGTTGCTAAAAAGTCAGGGACAGACTGAAATGCTGCTCAGGGAGCTTTGCGTTCCCCTTGGGTGACACCTGGGAACTGGGGGTGACCCTGCTGACAACAGCCCTCTCTGCGTTCACCTGGAGACTGGAGGTGCGCCTGACACTCCAGAACTCCAGCTTTCTGAGGATTCTTCTGTCTACTACGAGTCCGTTTTGATGTTGCCAAATGCTACACAACTTCAAAAAACAAAGCTTTTATAGGAAATTCACAGAGACGCTGTTTTGATTGGTAGAGGCCTCTGGGCTTCAGCTGCAGAGCCTGTCTGCTGTCCTAGGGTTAGGGTGGCAACCGTCTGGAATTCAGGGAGGTCCCAGGACACAGGATTTGCAGTGCTAACCCCAGGGAAGTCCCAGGCAAACTGGGGGTGTTGGGGACCCCAGTTCCATGTGAAGGGACAAGACTGACTCATAGGACTTCAAAAATATTCTCAATATAAGGAAACTGGCAACCAGCACCAATAATTTACCTCCATTTTATATTAAAGTTTCTTGTAGTCTCTACTGAGTTTCTTTCAGGAAGAGAAAGAGCAATGCAGATCTGAAGGGAATTTAATGGTTACATAATTGAACACAGTACCCAGAAGAATATGGTGGTCCAGGTTGGTTAAGGGATTCAAACAAGATCAAAAACAGCAGCAGAATAATACCTGGAATCTTAGCTTGGAACTCCAAAAGAATAAAGGAAGGAATCTCTTCAAACTTAGAAAGAATTTTAGCTGTGTTAACAAATGTAATTGTAATAGCAAATTGTAAGTATCCAAATAATTTAAGAAAACGTGAAATTACTTGAAATTGCCATCATAGGAAATCTAAAAAGGGTTTATTAGATTGATTTATCTGGGTCGCTTTAGCTTGCCAGTTCCATTTGTTTGTGCATAGGACAGTGTCAAACAGCCAAAACTGCGATGCTACCGAGGGTCCCGGAAAAATGTGTCACCTTGGTCAGGACTTGGAAGAGGCGAGGAGGGAGCTCTGAGCAAAGAGCTTTGCTACGGAGGCGTGGCACAAGCCGTACGGCCAGACCCTAGCCTCTAAATGTCCTGTGCAGCTCCTCAGCCAGAAGGAAAACCTCTGAGTTTTCTCTGATGGACACAGTAAGGTGGTAAATGTATAACTGGAGGTATTGGTTTCCTGGGTTAATTAAAATTTTCATGCATGACTCACAGAAGAAAACACCAAATGACAAATGGAAACACATGTGGAAATCTAAGCAACTGGCAAAAACATTGAGGTAGATTATTTCACACCTACCGTTGCTGTTTAGAAAATATGAATAAAAGTAGTATCACGGTTAGCCCGAATAATCCGAAGAAGATAAGAAAGAACCACGGGAACTGGAAATCTGAAACACATGAGACAATTTATCACTCGCAGGGTTACGGAGGGTTGATGTTCACATTTCACCTCATTTGTATTCCTCTGGTGAAGTCCGTGATTTTACGTGACAACCAACCCAAAACAAGGCAACACTGGAGAAGTATTTTCTGTGCCGAAAACACATTTTCAAATCCTTTTACATTAGAAAAAGTCAAAATAAAGCTTAAGCACAATCCACGTTTATAAGGAAAAAAAATCTGCTGTAAGCATCCTTATGTGATCAGAGGATGTCACGAAAGAGCCAGGTGCTGCTGGTTAACACACCTCTTTACCTGAACAATGTCTCCTTGGCTCCTTCTTTACAAAGGTGTGCAGGTGTTTCATATCCTCCAGTTTGAGGAGCTATTGAAAAGGTTGGGGCAGAGTTTTTATATCTGACCCACGACTGGGACTTTTCAGACAGGCAGAGCGATTATTTTACAGCTTCAAAACCCCCCTGGGGCAGAAGGTCCCTGTGGGGGCTTCCTCCTGCAGATCTGAGTCAGGTCTGCGGCAAACTTGGGGGGACCTGTTTGTAAAACTTCTATATTATTCCTTAAAAACCAGTGCCTTGCAGCTGGTTCCCGGTATTCTTACCACACTGGCAGAAATGAACCGTGTTTTAATTAAAAAGGACAGGTGAAATTTACCTTAAAGCTGCTTGATTAAAAGCAGGCTTTTATATTGTAATATTCTTTTCTTATTTTAATTTTCTGGTTCAGGTATTAAAACCCCCAAGGGAGATATTATGGGCATTAGAAAGAATCAGTGGGGGAGAGAACATCATTTGTCTCTTGTGGCATTTATAGTTTTATATCGATGACATATCCAGGAATATAATATAAAGCAGGTGCTTCATTTTCTCCTTTTTTTTAAACATGGAAAGTCAGTTAAGAAAGAAACTGTATTAAGTGAATTAACCGCCATCACAATAAGATTAAAGGGTGTGTGGCAAGTGTATTTTTTTAAACCAGAATTTCATTGTATCATATTGTTTGCAGTAACAGGCATTAGGTAGAGCTTAAAAAATGGAGCTGCAGACATTTTAACTCAAGCATTATTTTGTATCATGAATTCTACCTGTACCTAAATGCAGAAATATAAGTTGCATTTCTCTGTAGCTTGTGACTGTTTCACTAACAAACCTCAGCTCCTCACAGGGCCCTGCAACCTCCTGTCTTTCATGAAGATGAGCTACAGCCAATTCTCATGTGGGAGTGATAATATTTTATAGCTTTAATATTCATGGTTAAGCAGCCCTCTTTATTTCTGTATCTGAACACTTGAATTCTTTTATTAAGAATCCCTAGGGTTCATTTCTTTACACTTTAATTATCTCTGTACTTCCCTTACATCCAGGAACTTCAGCTGTCCCATGCCATTCATCAGCGTAACTGGCGTATGACTTTGGCCAGGTAAAAGCCACGCCTGAACTTTCTAAAGCCTGCCAGCACCTGCCTCTGACTACCTGCGCTGACTCAATACCCAGCTTTCTCTTAGAAGCCACGGAGCACACCCATCCATATAGATACAGAGCCTTTTCAGTGTGTATTTGAAAAACATTTTATGCAGAATATAAATGCAAACAAGTCATTGTAGACCATTTTAGAACTACAGAAACATGTAAAGAAAGAATCACCTGAAACGCTGATACCTGGAGATAACCCCTCTGTAACTTGCACTTCACCCCAGGACTCTTCCTGAATTAAATAATTCAAACACTGAGTCATCCTCCTGCTTTTTCATGGAAAATCCTGTTACAGAGGGCAGGCTCGGGGTCCCTTACCCCACTCTTAGATGCTAACACGGACGCCGATGTGGCCACGGGGCTCACAGCACAGGGGATGGATCACTGCGCCTTGAGAAAAGCCACGTGGGCGCCATGGCGACCTCTTACTTTTACCTTCTTCGCAGGGCAGGGGGCTGGTCTGAGGAAGTGTGACGTAGAGCACCTCGCTGAACTCGCCGTACTTGTCGGAGTTCCGCTGCCTGGACCGCACGCGCACTTCGTACTCTTTGTCCAGGCGCAGCGAGTACACAGGGACCGACGTGGACGCCACGGGCTCCATCTTTCAAGACAGAACGGGGCACTTGCTGGTTAGAGAGTGGACACTCAAGGCCACAAACTCCGAAAGGTGTGCCTGCGTCTGTTCTCAAAAGGAATCGTGGAGAGTAGGTAAGGTGTGCAAAGGTACTGGAGTTGGGGGAGGGGGGCTATTTCAGGAAAGATCAAGGCAAATATGTTAAATGAACAATAGGCCTCAAACTTATTTTGGTACAAACCAGAGACTTGATGGACTTTCACAGAAATGCAGTTATCTCTTTTTAAAAATCTTATTTATTTATTTATCTTTAGAGGGGAAAGGAAGGAGAGAGGGAGAGAAATACTAATGTATGGTTGCCTTTTGTGTGTCCCCCTGCTGGGAACTGGCCTGCAACCCAGGCTTGTGCCCTGACTGGGAATCAAACTGCAATCCTCTGGTTTGCAGGTCCGCGCTCAATCCACTGAGCTACACCAGCCAGGGCAGAAATGAAGTTATATCTTTAAATTAGGATGTCAAAATTCTAAGATCAAAGCATAATAAATTATTATGGAAAAATAACAGAACTATAAAGAAATGTTGCCTATCCTTAGGGATATTACAGTTTTGTATGAAGATGCAAAAACAGGAAAAACAAACATATTTCACATCAAAACAAATTCTAGTCATTCTTTGGAAATTCTGGGTGGTTATACATATGACCAGATAATTGCAAGGGGTCCTAGGAAAATCCATAGTTGTCTTAACCAAACTTTGAAATAACTCTGTTAGAAGCATCTATACACATAATCTGCTTGTTCTAGAAGCCTCAAAGGCCACCTCAAAATTGTTTGCTATTCAAAATCTGCAAAAAAAGAAAAATCACAGGAGTCCTTGTGGTCCCACAACCTTTACGGCCAGGATATTCTTTTACCTTCTGGGGGAAGGGCAGGTCTATGAGACTTTTAAAATGTGTGCTGTCAAAGAAGGGGACCCAGTTAATGAGGGGGTTTTCCTTTAAGGCAAATATTCAAACTGAGTAGTCAACGTGTGCTTTTCCTACATTTTCTGGTAGAACACCTTGTTCCTGTTTATAAAAAACTAGAAACCCTCACTTTTTCCACGGCATCAGCCTTGCACATAAATAAGATCTCATAGTTTGTTTTGCTAAGTCAGAAGCTGGCTCTTCAGTTTCTAAAACAAATTTCCCTCTCACCTCGGTTCGTTTCTGCTCAGAAAGTCTCTCCCCCTGCCACCGTGTGTACATGGGATGGTGATTTTGCATTGTTTAAAGGAGCCTCTTCATATATAGAACATCTGCACGCCTAAAGTGCTTTTTTAAAAGGTAGAATTTGGAATATTAAACTTACTATTTTTCTTAAAATATTTTTAAAGCCCATGTTTTTGTTCTGAAAGCCCTAATTTCTCTGTTACTGTCACCAAAGTCATTTCTCTACAGATTTTTACTAGTAACAAAACCAGGCAGGGAGTCTCAGGGACCCCCCCCCCCAAGGCCCCTCTCCACCCTCTCTGATCCCTGCACACCCGCACACCCGCACACCCACATGCTGAGCTCGGCCCCCTGCCTGTGCGCCTGCTCTTGGCCGGCCCGCAGTGTGTCTGCTGCAACACTAAGAAGTCTTTCCTGGCACTTTCCCCTATTCCCTTCTGCCGGACGCTGCACATCCTGCACAACTTTCTCTGTTCCCTGCACAGGTTTCTGTGTGAGGCCACAAAGTCTCTGGGAGCCAACGACACCTTTGTTGTCTTTGGGTGGAAGGTGGGCGGGCAAGTAGGTAACTATAGGCTGTAGATAACTGTATGCCACCCATTAAAATCCTGAAAACACCAGGAATTCTTAACTTGGCTTAGCAGGTAAACAGTGTAAGTAACTACATGGTCATTAGTATCACTTTTATATTGAAAATGTATTTAATTAAAAAAGGACACAACACCACCAAATTCCATATTGCCAAATGGTAACATGAATCTGGTCTAAGCAACGAACACTAGCTTTTTCCCCTTCTGCTTACAAACTTCCCTTCTTTTTATGCTTACGACACTTATGCTCATAGCCAGTTATATGGCAACTGTCTTCCGGAGAGAGGTCGGTTCTTATGAACAGGCCCTTGGTATTCGTGACAACTCTGTGACCCTTGCAAATGATCAAACTCATAAAGACTATACACATATAACTGCACTCACAGAAGGTCAGTAAACGTGAACTGACCCCTGTGGACCATCTAATGTGACTTCTAGCAGGGCACCATGAGGACTGCTACAGAGCCACATGGAAAGGCAGCTCTGCACGGTCAGTTGAGTCCCACACCCCCGTGCACCTGGCTCAGGTATGCGACGCATATATACCTGCCTCTCACTGTGTCTTGGCTGAGACATCACTACAGGCCAGGGTCTTTCAGGCTTCAAACTATACTCAGAAAATGTATGAATTGGAATGTTCTGATTTACATCTTGCTTTTTCTAGCTTGTCAAACGGAGGCAGGAGACAGCATAAGAAGAGCCCCGAGGCTGCACAGCTGTGACTGGCCAGCATCCAGCATCCTGGTTGCCAGGAAACACCTTTTACCACTTAGGTTGAATAAATAGTAAACTGAGGCAGGGAGGAGGAAGGAGACATGTCTCACATGCTAACTCAGTAGTCCCCAGCCTGGTCTGATAATATTGCCAGGTGTTCTAGTATCACAAGAAATGTTATGTTAGCAAGAAAGAAGGGAAGTCCTTGAAATCCTATGTAGCATTTCCACTATCTGGGAGAGAAGGCCTTGAAACTATGCTTTCATCCCAGGGCCTGGAATGTGGGAGAGGGTCCCCGGTACCCAAAGAAGAAGCTCACAAAACCACTTTGGTTCATTGTCTACCTCTGGTCACTGTTTTATGAGGGAGTCCCCGATGGTTATAGAGGAGCCCATCAATAACTTTGGAAAGTGCCCCAGTTTAAATTAACTGTCTCCTGTCATGTATCTGTTTAACAGCAAATGGAGTCTGGAGCAAGAGAAGGATTCGGGCTAATAGACCCCCACATATACCTACGTTTGGGTAGTCACGTTCCCCCAGGAGAGTGGGCACCACACTTACCCATTAATCAATATCTAACTTTATTTTTCCTATCCCACCAACTATGTAAGTCCTCAGAACAAAGGACTCTCTCTCCTGGGGGCTTGCCACCCTGGTCTTCGGCCACTCTTACCATTCGGCCAAGAATGCTGCCCTGCTTTGCCCTGAAACTTGGCCTTTCGCCCCTGACTCTAGCTAGTCCTGTTCTCTTCCATGGGAATGGATCACTAATAAACTGATTGCACACTAATAGATTGGCTGATCTGTAATTCTTTACATGTGCCAGCAAGAAGAACCAGGTCTTTCCCGTCAACAAAACGTTTCAGTGTCAGGATTCTTTGACACTTAAAAATGATTGTGAATTGTAAAGGTTTGGTTTATTTGAATTATACCTATGGCTATTTTCTATATTAGAAATGGAAACTGAGAATATTAAAAATGCTAATTTTAAAATGAAAATAAATTGATTTTATGATAATACTTTTATTAAAATTATTGTGCTCTCCAAAACAATAAAACTATAGAAAAAAGAGTGACATTGTTTTACATTTTTGCAAATCTCTTTAATGTCTGGCTTAGTAGAACACGGCTGTATTTCCACACCTGCTTCAGAACTCAGTCCATTAGGAAGTGTTGTTTTGGTTGAAGTGTATGAATAAAATCTGGCCTTACACAGACATATATTGAGAAAAGGAAGGATATCTTCCTAGTTTTTTCAGATAATTTAGATGTTTTTTTAACACCAACACTCAAACTCAGTAAGTGGTATTTTCTTAAAGGTTAGTTGCAACCTGGAATCTGAAACCTGTCAATGAATCTTGTGGACTCTGTTATGTTAAAATCCTCCATTCCTTCATCTAGTACTTGAATGGATTGTTTCCCTGTGTGCAATTTTGGTTATATCATGTATGGGTCATCTGGAAAAGACTGGTTCACTGAGTTATGCCGATTTCCTAAATGTCTACACAGTTTATTATGCAGTATAAAAAGAATCACTTGCTAATAGCACCACTGCTGATCTCAACGGGGTGTCTTCAAAGATAGGGAAGCCATCAAATGCGTAGTTACACAAGTTTCCTTAAATTCTAATTTTCCCTTGAAAGCTCACATTTTTTCCACTGGCAACAAATACTACCAATTGTTTTTCTTACAGTAATAAGCTTGCTTAATTTTTTTCAAGCAATGTTTGCCAAAACTTTGCCAATGCAAACGCGAATTGCTATGTATCAGTTTATCAGTAGTTCTTTCAGGTAACACTAAGGCTCCACGTGGTGCTCCACACAGAACGCAGCGGGTTCCGTGGGCAGCCTGCTGTTCCAGCGCTTTTTCTGAAGACCACCCTCGGCACCCATGCGGCTTCATGTGGATTTGCCACGTGTCGCACTGGATGTTAAAAAGGCTGAGCTGTAACAAGATCAGTCATTTCCACAGCTTCATCAAGGGCACTCTTAGGAGAAACGGCTCTGCACCGCCGCTCCCCTCCGCCCGCCGCGATGTTCGGAGCTGAAGAATTCAGAGACTGCCAGTACCAGTCTGTGTTACTACCCCCGTCTGTGCCGAGGTGGCCTGTTTACCCATTGTGGCTTTTGTACCATCAGGGCAAATCTCAACATGGTCAAGAATGGAAATAACATTTTAGTACTACTATGAAAATAGCCTTGACCTTGCAGACCCCCTGACAGGGTCTTCGGGACCCTCAGGGATCCCTGGTTCACACTTTGAGAACAGCCACCTTGGGGAACCTGGCACAGTCCTTGCACACAGTGGCTATTCCGATACCTGCTGGCTGCAGAAACGCATGACTAGCTTGCATTTAGAGCGTCTTGTTTGACTCAGCATCCAAACATGCTTTTTTTTACTACACCAAGTTGCAGAATAGATATCTAAATTAAAATGAGGCCGTACACAGAGACTCAAAGCCCAGTATTGTGCTGCTCAGAGCGGCTGCAAATTTAGCTCTTCCTCTAATGGCAGCATCAGCCTCTTTCTCAGCCATTCACTGAGCGGACAGCCCGGTGTCTCCAAAGCTGTGCCAGCTGCTGGGCCTGACGTGATGCCTGGCCAGGAACCGCTGGGCTTGGCCGGGGCCGTGGCTGTGGTCAGACTGATTTAGAATTTGTTATATTGGGAGCAGGGCGATAATCCTGTTTTTCTTCTTGTTGTGTGCCGTGTGGAATTTATCTCAGTGCCCAGTTCCCATGCACTTGGCAAGGAAGTGAGGAGGGCGGAGGTCAGCCAGTACATGCTCCTCGCAGACTTCAAAACCAATCGGCACAGTTGTCCCTGGGCGTACTTGACAAAATATACTTCCGAAACCCTAAAGGGCAAATTCCCTCCTAGAGTCACTTAAGACTTTATTTTAATGGGGGTCTTGTGAGCAGTAGCAATTAAAATCATGGGAGAATATTTAGCCGTAGCTCACTGTTGACCTTGATCATAACCCTTCCCATGTTTAGCCACATCCCCAAAGTGGCTCAAGTACACAGTTTTGTTCTAAAGTTAAACTGGACACCCAGGAAGACTGGGGGAGAGTCTTCCTTTCCTTCCAGATGCTCCCATGTCAGCTCCACGGAAGCGTCTGCTACTGGACAGAACCCTTAAGTCGATCTTTTACTGGTCAGACTTTCTCAAATAAGAAATGATGGAGCACATGGTGTGGGCACCTGGTGCTAGGTCCAAAGGAAGTTACAACAAGAGGGGTGTTAGAATAAAAAGAAGACAATTCAGAAGATTTAAAGCATGACGTGCAACGGCACCTTACCATTTTCCACTGGGTCTCATTTATTTCTTTGTATTGTAGCTCGTACTCCAGGACTATCCATCCTTTCTGAACGTCTGCATTGGATGGTGGTTCCCATCTCACTTGGATATCCGCGTGAATGCCCGTTAAACTGATGTTCAGTAGAGTCCAGTTGAGGCCAGTGGGTGGGTCTGGTTGTACTGTGCATTTCAAAGGAGAGTTAGTACACAGACACACAGCTGCATAGTAATGGAATGCTTTCTTCTGAAGACACCACATTCGTACCTTTTTATCACTCATACTCTTACTTCTAATATTCCTATCAGTATATTCTCACTCTGTAAGAGAGTACCATTTTTTAATTTAAGGATGATCTGTGTTTACCTCTAAAAAAGCCCCTGCAAAAATTGCTTTTCAAGCCTAAAATCTGATCTATAACTTTTCTTAAAGATCACTTATGCTTAACATTTCTTCTAGCTATGATAGAATTAATGCTCTGGGACTTGGCCAAGGAATTCATTTGAACTAAGGGACAGAGTGTCAGACAGCCCTGTGGCAGTTAAACATGTGGCTGTTTTGGAACCAGGGCTAGAGAAATCTTTTGTCTTCCAAGCTGTTCATGACCTGGGGCAAGGACCTCGTCTCGCTCATTCCCAACACTCAGCAGTGGCTCCTCAGCTTGGTGCCTTCCCAGCCACATGGGGTCTTCAGACCTAAGAAGGGAGGCATCACACTGCTCTCTCTCAAAGGGTTTTCTCTCACTTAACTGGATGTGAGTGATGGGCAACGGGGTTCTGCTTGGTTTCTGCTGATCTACCTACATTTCCAGGTACAACTGTTGACCACAAAGACCACAATTTCCCAAAGGCTGGTGAAGAGAAATATGGATTCCAAAGCTAGGAACTGTATCTAAATTTATAGTTTAGAGAGTTTCCAATACATGACTGCTATTTGGTCTCAGTATTGAGGTTTTCAAAAAGTATATGCAGAAGCAGAGTAAAATTTACTTTCTTTTCTATGATATGGAGGTCGCCTGGAATGGGGTAAAGTCTGTGTCCCCAGGGTTGATCAGAGATAAGATTCAACAACTGAATCTAAAAAACAAACTAAGCAAATAAGCAGAACAGAAACAGACATGGAGATCATTTGGAGGGTTATCAGTTGGAAAGGGGAAGGGGGAAGGGAGGGAATGGGGGAAAAGTACAGGGAATAAGAAGCATAATTGGTAGGCACAATATAGACAGAGGGATGTTAAAACAGTATAGGAAATGGAGAAACCAAAGAACTTACATGCATGACCCATGGACATGAACTAAGGGGGAGATTGCTGGAGGGAACTGGGTTACTGGTTGGAAGGGCGAAAAGGGGGCAATACTGGGACAACTATAATAGTGTAACTAATAAAATATATTTTAAAAAAGAAATTGGAGTGATTTGTAAAATAGCTAAGCTACAAATGCCACATATTGACAGGAACAGCCCTCTTTTCTGGATTTGCTGCAATTATTTATTATTTATTGCTTATTGCTATTTCTCATTAACACCTGGGACTCCTGACTTGACTGTATCTTACTCATCCTGCAGCCATTACACCCGGACACGGGGCAGAACAGTGCCTGGCTCACGGCAGGCACTCAGGGCCAGCCAGGTACAGGGGCGGGGCTGGCAGGTGGCAGGGACAGGCTCAGAACATGGGTCTTGACCCAGTATTCTTACTGTTACTTATTGAGCCACTCACAGCTGCACCCATAGGTGTTAGGATATCTCCACAGTATCTCTCAACTAGGCAGTTGAGTTCTCTTTTGCACTTGTTCAGTTTTCTGAGTCTTCACCCTCAAAGTTAGGCTATCAGATCCACTTCTCCCGTCTGCAGCTTCTAGCCCCTTTCTGTCTCTTGCAGTCTTTGGATGCCTGGAAAACCACATATGAGGACAGCCCGTCCGAGAGAACTCTAAGGAATTCCTATTCGCAGCAACTGAGCCTCCGTGGGTAGATGTGAGGAACCAGTGCCAGCTACTCAGAGTCCCTCTTTGATTTTTTTCTGTTTAGTTGTTTATACTATTACAGTTTAAACATGCACATTCCAATTATAGCTGTTTGTTTTCCTTTGTTTCGTTTCCCCTGCGTCCACATGTTGGGCAAGGGATAAGCTGTTTGGATCTTTCATTTAGTTCATTGAGCTGATTATCTCCAATGTTTGTCTTCAGATTTTATAAACATGCTTTTGAACTGATTTTGGCTGTTTTGTAAATGTAAAATCCCAGAGTAATTGTGCTTTGTGATAAAGGAAACCTAAGTATTTATTAGAGCAATGATAGAGATCAAGGCCAACATATTTCGGTAGTGAAGACTATAATAATCACACCAAATAATTAGAAGAGAAGGACACTTAGGGGCACCCCGAGTCTGCCCCTGCTGTGGCTCTTAGGAACACAATCCAGTTGAAAGACCTCCTCCAGGAAGACGCCACCAGGCCCCCCCTTCTTTATAGCATTACTGCTGCATTTGTTTTCCTTAAAGCCCACTTAGTTCCCCCTGCCCTTGGCTTCTTGTTCAGCAGCTGACCTCATGCCCTGTCAACCTGACTTCCATCTGCCCCTCGGGCACAATGACAAAGCCTCCCTACTCAAATACACCTGGGCATTGAGACTTCCCACTTAGTTAATCTAAAGCCATGGCAAGGGAAACACAAACCTGTGATTTACCTATTTCCTCTACAGAGAAGCACTTCCGATCCACAGTCCCACCACGACTCGTGAGCTTGATGCAGTAGGGCGTCCAGATGGAGGTATAGGATGCGTTAAAGTAACAGCTGTTTTCTCCAGCAGTGACGTAGTCAGGGCATTCTTTCCATTCTTGAGTCCACTCTTGAGTCCACTCTTGAGTGTTCCTGAAAGGGAGGGTAAAAAAGGATGAGCTCTTCCCAAAGCAGGCCATCGGTGGAGTCAAAGCGAGGAGCTTGGCAGTCAGAGTCAATAAACTAAAACACAGACATTTACGAGCAAATGTTCCCGGGAAGTCTCATGTTTGTGGGTTCCGTGAGGGTCTGCAGACTGAGTGGGGGCTGTCTGGTACTTCTGCCTGCTGGAGAGCCACGTGCTCACTGACTGCATGTGACGGGCGAGCTCCTAAATGAACTTGACTCATTGGTAGGCACCCTGTTATCCACATTGTACCAATGAGGTTTAGGGAGATTGAACAAGGGCCTTCCTTAAAAATGATAGACAGTCAACTTGCAAACTGCAGAGGTTCCCAGAGTGGTGAGTCTCTAGACCCAGGCGAGTCTCCAGCTCAGGGTGGGAGGAACCAAGGCTGCTGCTGGTGTTGTCCAGGTTGAGCGACACTGATGTACAGGTGGCCTTGCCGTGGAAGTCGGTCACCACCCTGCTCCGAACCACTGTGTGTCTGTCTCCCCACGGGCACCCTGTGCTTGGGGGAATTTTCCTCACACTCTGAACTCCTCCTCATACTTCTGTTTTTTTCCTTAATTATATGAAGAGCCAAGAGAATATTTCAAACATGCAGGACATTCCAGCGATATGTATGAAATGTGAAATCCTAGCCTTTCCTTCCCAACCCCTGTAAGAGACGAAAGGCATGAACCCAATTCAAAACTCTCACCAAAAGAATTTTTCTTTTCTATTTTGTAGCTAGACATGGACACTTAATTATAGGATATAGGGGAAAAAAAGAAATAAACATGGGCTGAAGTGAATCAACATGCTTGCTTACGAGTTCCTTTTTGGTTTTTCTACAAAGAACAAGTTCCTCTCTTCCTGGATCTCAGATCAGATAAAAACAAATAGGAATCCCGGCAGGTAGATGGACACATGGGGGACACGGAACTCATCTGCGCAGCTGCGTGTCCAGTGACATTCCACCCTCGTTATTTGTCTCTGCCCTGCTCTACAGAATGTGTTGTCTGCGAAGGTGACTCTGAACTACAGCAGGGCGTGCGCTGAATGGAAAGGAGATGCCAGGACAGTCACTGTGGAAGGAAGTCAGAGTTTAGGGAAAGGCAGTTCCCTGGTCTGTTGCCATGGGGACCTGAACAAAAATGCAGAGCAATCAAGAGATCCAGCACTCAGAGTCAAGTTCAAGCACCCCCACCCCCACAACCCCTGAGCAGAAACAGAGTGAACACGTGACAGAATGTGACGCAGCTCCGCCGAGTCCCATCTGTCTGTCTGAGTGGCGAATCCAGCCAGCTGTCCTCGGGAGCCTGCTCTCTAAGCGCCAGATAAGCAGTGCATCCAGCGTGAGCACAGTGAAGATATAATTGATGTCAAGATTCGGTTCCTACCTTCGGGCAAGAAAAAGGCTCAGAAATTACAATCTCAGTACTTTTTTGGCTTCCTGCATTCGGTCCACTGATATTAAGGAAGCACTGATTACATACAAAACCCTGTGCTAGGCATTATGAAGGAGTCGCATGCCTCGGGAATTACTCTGGACTGAGGGGTATGATCTAAAAACTAGTATAAGGCAGCGTGAGTGCTTCCAGATGGGGCTCATTACGCTCCCTTAGAGCTCAGAGGAGGCAGCGATTGTTCTGGTGGTTCACGGAAGGAAGCAAGGTGGAGGTGGTGTCTCTGGCGATCTTGAAGGATCCATGAAGTTGAACAGATGGCAATAGGGAAAGGAAAGGAAGGGACAGAGTGGCCCAAGGCACTGAGGTAAAGAAGTCCGGGCACGAGCGGGTGAGTGGAGCGGCAAACCATGGGATAACTGGGGAAGGACTTCTCAAATTAGAATTGCTGCCTGGGCGGAGTGACTCCCTATTTGCTTATCGTTCACCAGGCGATCTGCTTGCGAAGAGGGTTTACGAGTCAAGGAGATGTAAGGCCAGGTAACCTGTGGTGGAGGAAACAGGCAGCAGGAATGACCCTGTGCAGATCCGGGGCCAGGGGCCGGCAGGCTGGCTCGCCTGGGGGGGGCGGGGTGGGGTGGGGCCAGGTAAGCTCCCTCTGGGGACTGTGGGAAAGGCAGGGGCTACGGGGAGACACAAATGCCCTTCTTTCCAGCCGTTTCTCAGGAAGAAACTTGTGCAATATGGGGAGATCCTTGGGACAGCCATTCATCAGCTGTTGGGAGAAACTGGAATTCAAGTGGCAGAAACAGCAGGGTCCAAGGCAGGGAAGTGTTTAAATCCTGGCTAAGATTCTTAAAATCTAAGTTGCGTACCCCTGGATGAGAGGAAGATACATCCCCGATGGGAAAAAACGTGGGTGGAGGGGAGAAGCAAGGGTAAATTGTGTGTGTGTCTCTGTGTGTGTGTACATTTACAGTAGGAAACAGATTTAAAAATATTAGGAGGAGGGGAAGGGGGGAGAAGGTACAGAAAATAAGTAGCATAGACAGATAGAAAATAGATAGGGGGAGGGTAAGAATAGCAGGGGAAATACAGAATCTAAAAAATTTGAGACACGTGTTCATGAACTAAAGGGGGAAATGGTGGGGGAGGGGTGTGCAGGGTGAAGGGGAATGGAGGGGGGGAATAGAGCAAATGTAATGGCATAATCAATAAAACAGATTTAAAAAAATATTAGGAATAGGCGGGTCATTGAATACACTTTATTTTATCCTGAGTCTCAAACTAAATAAGAGTCCATTACAGAGGATGGTTTAACAGGCCAGCCCAGGGAGTGCGGCTTTCACACAGTAGTGGAGGGCACAGCGCAGGTATTCAGCACAGCTGACGGTGTTAAAGTCTGTATCAAAGTGTCCTAACGAGGTGGGCCAGGGCTGACCAGGTCTGGCTTTGTTCTAGAGAGGTGAGCTCTGTGTGTTTCTCAGTTTCTCAGTGTGGGCAGGTGCAGTCCCCCATGGGGACTCCACAAAAAAACCCTGTTTAGATGATTCCCATCAGCTCCAGAGAACAAACGACTGAAGAAAGCTCTCATCTGATGCAGGAAGGACCTGGAAGAGCTAAGTTCAGAACACAACTCCCAACTCCTCCCTCATTATTTATGTTACATTTTAAATAAACATATAACATTTATTTATCAAATTTAGACAAAAAAACCAACAGACTCCCGAAATAGACACTCTGTCTCCTGCCTTCACAGGGATGAGTGTCTGTAAGATGCTCTCCCCTCTCATTCCCCAGGTAAGTGCTCTGGGTCGCTCCCGGTCTATCTGTGAAACAGGAGTGAGGACTGCAGAGATGAGCAACAAAAATCAGAAGAAAGGGCAGAAGAAATGCTTTCCATCAATAGGTAACCAATTGGGGGGAAAAAAGGAAATAAAACATCATTTATGTTTGAAGGGCAACTGTTTTCATTACATGCAAATCATGTGTTTTTGGCTTAAAATGTATCTTTTTCCTTAGAAAAAGAAAACAGAGTAACAATGTCCTCTGTCCCTTCTAATTTCTCCCACAAGCTGGCATAGAAAAGAAACTTCCTTTTAAAAGGCCAGGATAACTTGTGGAGGGGGGTGAGTGGCGGGGGTGGCAGACCTGGGGGATACAGCCTTAGGGACTGGGTGTCCACCCACTTGCTTTGAGAACGAGGCATCTGCAGGCAAGGAGAGGAGTTCGCAGCATCTCCGACAGGCTCCCGGAACTGCATTTGCCATACCTGTGATTTGCATTTATGCCGAGTCCCCTCCAAGCACAGAGGCTGAATGTGGCCCCATCTCCAACACAGGGGACAGAGACTGGTCCAAATGGGCCCCCCTCCTCCAGCTCATCTGGCCGGGAGTGGTGCCAGCCAAGCACGAGGCTGCCTCTGGGTCCGTCCTGTTGACAGCCGGCCAGAAATGCTGAGGTGCCCCCGTCCCTTCGTCACCGAGCCAGGCCCCTCCACTGCTCTGGGTCTGGATGAAATCCTGTCATCACTTTGTGTGTGTGTGTGTGTGGGGGGGTCACAATTCTGTGGTTTTAGGAGCTGCCTGGGAACCGAATTCTGAGAGATGGTCACAAGTCACAAGTGCACGGGTATTGTCCTCTTCAGGTAAGTGCACAAGGCCAAGTCTAACACGTCTGTGCACTGCGTGGGGCCGTCTGGTCCTGACAGGACACGTCTAACCCTCTGCTTCTGCCCTTCCCAGGTAGACTGGGTGGGGGCTTATGCTGTTTTGGCGGAGATAGTCAAATTAATTATATTTTATAGGGGAAAAATAACCCCACAATATGCTGATTTTAGCCAATTTAGATTGGCACTAATTGTGAGACTGTACTTTGGGGGTTTGAGGAGGTGATGATGTTTTCCCCTGGGGCCCCAAACTCCACTGAGGCCCAAACTAATGACATCCTTTTGCACCTGTCTGAGATTTCCTCCCACCTGGCTGTGCTTCCAGTGGCATCTCTGTTGACAAAGAGCCTGGGCTTGGACCAGAGACACTGAAGGCCTGGGTCGGGCAGAGGAGTCTCGGAGGCCAAGGTCGGTGGCCCTGGTGCATCAGGGTAGGGGACAAACGTGATTTGTGATGGCTTCACACCTGGGATTTATCTTTCTGCCCAGGTTTAAATTTGGTGAATACTAGGGAGGTGTAAACCTATTTTCGTAAAGTGGGCTGGCTCTGAGGTTGCTCAGTTGCTTTTCGTCAGCTGGGCCTGGGCAGGCACCCCCTCGGTTATGACCGAGCTGGCTCTCAGGTGCCGAAGCCTAATGTGGGGACTGAACCCAGTAGTCCTGTTTTCCACTTAACAGTCAATCAACAGACACTCAAAAGTGTTACCAAACGTTTTCACTTCCTGTCCAAAATACAAACCCACTTTGTCTACTGACCCTACGCCTCTGCAGTGTCAGCGTGCACACACACACACACACACACACGTGCATTTGGTACCCAGCCATCTTATCTTTGTGTGCCCTTTGGGGAACAGCCAAGAGACCACTCTCAACCTGAAAGGCAGGTAAGGCCAGTCCTGGTAGCTAACTCCGAGTACATCTTATTTGCAAATCAAGCACCCAGCTCAAATCAAGCATGAAAGATGTTCTTATAGGATGTAAAGAATCGAAATCAGTTTTGTAGCCCTTAACTGGAATTTTACATCATTATTGTTTTACATCATTATTGTACTACCAATAATAAAAATTGGCAGTTGCCATGGATTGTGTACTTACTGTATGCTAAGCACTAAGCTAAGTGATTCCATGTGTCAGCTAATAAATCCTCATTGGAGGACACCAGGCAAGGTCTATTAGCTCCATTTTACAAATGAGGCAGCTGAGTTGTGGATGGACTGGCTCATCTGCTCAGAGAGTGAAGTCAGAGCCAGGCCCAAGCGCAGGTTTGTGGGTCCTGAGTGCATGTCCTTTACTGCTCGCTGCATCTTCCGTCCCTCTCCCACTCCTCTGTGGGGTGGACAGCGTCACCTGGGGACTGTGAACACCACCAGCCTAGAAGAAAGGGCCCCTGCTAACCCTGTATCTTGCTCAGGTCTGCCTTGGGGTTTGGGAAGAAAAGAGGAGACGATACAGTGTGTAAGACCCAGATTTAAAAAAAGCCCAAAGGTACCACATATAAGTAAAGACATGGAAATGATGTCAGGTGAAATAAAAGACTTGGGTAGTGACAATACTAGGAGATCTTTGCTTCACTCCTCCCTGTTATATTGAAGGACTGCTGGTAAAAAATGGATAGAAAAGTACTACAGTCCGTTATTGAACTATTTAATTAAACAGGAATGCAGTCTATTTTCTGTGTAGAAACCAAACTGAGTCTTTTAAAACATACATCTTTTCCATGCGTGGTTGCTTCTTGTGTGCCCCCTACTGGCAACCTGGCCTGCAACCCAAGCATATGTCCTGACTGGGAATCAAACCATAAAACATACATCTTTAAAAAAAAACCCCTATGACTTCCCACTACAGACAAAGGGAAATTCAAAGCCCACCCATGACCTACAGGCCCATCACAGTCTGGCCTGGCCAACTCTCCCACCCCTTTGCATAGCACTCCCCTGTGCTGCCCTGCACCATGGCACTGGCCGCCTGCTTTCTGCAACCTGCCAAGTCGGCCTCAGGGCCTTTGCACCTTCCCCAGACACCCCCGTGGCCTCTCACAGTTCGTGCTGTCTCTGCCTCGAGGTACCACGTGAAAGAGGCCTCCTATGACCTTCTCATGTAGAATATCAGCAAAATCCCTGTCCACACACTCACTCACACACTCATGCACATTCACACACTCATGCACTCAGACTTCCACACACTGACCCTCAGACACTTTCATGCACACACATGTATTCACACAGAGTGCTGACACACTATCCTCTTTCTGGCTTAACTTTTTTTGGTAAACCATATTACCAGCTGACATTTTACTTTTTAATTTTTTAATGTCTCTCTTCCCTCATTGAAGATGATTCTCCATGAGACCAGGGACCTTACTTTTTTGTAATCACTGCTGTGTCTTGGTGCCTAAAATAGTACCCAACACATAGCAAGGGCCTCCTCCTGAGTATTTTTGAATGAATCAGTGAATGGATCCACACAGGCCATCAATTCCTACTGCTGCACGGGACTAGCACACCCCAGTCAGAAGGTCTAGGAGATAAAGATCAGAAAGGCAGGGGCCGCACCTTCTAATATAGAACAGTTGCTGGAGTCCTGGGCTCTCGGAGCCGCGATGGCCCCCATCTGTCCAGTGGCATGAAAAAGTCTCTAGTTCGGGTGAACGGCACTTGGTGAGTTTAGGCTTCCCAGAAGAATCTGCAGAATAAAGGGAAAAGGCAAGGCATGAGATCTGGGGGGTAACATGTGGCCTTCGTGAGACTCACATTTAAAGTGCTAGAGAAAGAGCACTTGTTCCAGAAATGCTGTTTCCCTACATCACAGTTTCAGAGCTTGTGGCTGGCTGGTCAGTTATTTCTCTGCCAGCCCTTGATCCCAGGGACGAAATGTTTTGTCTTGATCTCAAACATTATTTTTTAGGGACCATTTAAGGAATCAGAGCTGGAGGGTGAGGATTTGGGAGTAGGTCCTTTACCTGGAAGGTGACCCCAGGACCTAGAAATGAGGGGTAAGGGGTAAGGGTTGGGGAAGGGGAGGGGAGGGAGAACAGTTAATAATGTGTGTGCTATTCGGCTGGTTATCACTGTGGCCCTCTGGGGCCCAGCCCCACAGAAGCCCCTCTGAGGTCCTGTGTAGAGTGTATCTTATCTACCAACTCCCATCACCCACTGGCTGAAGGATGCCCTGCAAGTGGGTATTAATGCCCATGAACTTCTGGGCTGCACCTGTACACAGGCTAAGTCCTCACTTGACTTCTGAGAAACCGAGGCAGGCATCTGAAGTGTGCCCAGCCAGGTGCAATGTTGACAACTGCCCACCACGGATGGCTGCGTTGGTATCAGACGGGCCAAGGGGATGTGGTGTGAGGACCACAGCACCCACGACAGGGACTCTTCTCTTTTTTACATTTTTAAATAAAAAGCCAATTATGCTTGCACTCTTTTAAAAGATTCAGCCAGTAAACTCATTAAATAGATGCTGACACTAAACAATGATGCATACAGATTCATCAGTTCTATTTGGGGAAGTGGGACACGCTCCCTATACATTACGGTACCCGCCCCAAACCTCTACATCCGTGATTTCTGCAGCTTGGACAAGTCTGGGGCGAGTGTGGAGACAAGTCTGGGGCGAACGGATTTGCGTGTGTCAATTTCACCCACGGTCATTTTGGTAATGGTAAGTTTCTTTCCTTTCTTTTTGTTCCTTATCCGATTAGTCTTCAGTTCAACTGTAAACTTAATGTATTTGTTTTCTGACCTAAAACTCTCATTCTTGGGCACTAGGGAGACTCTCAATCTTAAAGTATCTTTATAAATACTTCAAAACTTGATTTAAAAATAGTACACAAACAAACACTTCAAAGTTCCTGCCTCCATGTTCCGGGTACATATCTGGTGTTCTGAACCAAAACATGGCTCTTTTTCCTCTGTCAACAAACTCCTGAGGAATGTCAAGTTATAAGCCTTCTAAACAAATCCATCATTCGGCCATGCACTCAGCAAGCACTTACTAAAACTTCCACACGGTGCTAGGTCAGTTCTGAGAACCCTGCAGGAAGAGAACCAGATACCGTCCTGGTCCTGGGGGAGACTCCATTCCAGTGAACACCGAGGGAGGTGCGATCCCAAGCGGGGCCACCGAGGTGACCAGGTTGGGGAATGGGCCCCTCTTCCTTCCACCAACAGCCAGACTGACACAGCAGAGAAGCCCAGGCTCGGGGAGCGTGTCCTGGTGTTAGACACTGACTACCCTGCACCGTCTGCCCACAGGATGCACATCTGCAGAAACCCCTGGGCTGCAGATGGGTCCTCTGCCCTGGGAGCATGCATTGAGAGCGGCAGAATCATTTTCTCAATAAAATTCCACGGTCATACTGTTGCAGAAATATTCCTCCTCGTGCGTGAACCAAGACATTTATAACAGTGTGGGACATGGGTGGAGACTGCCTTGGTACCAGGAGCAGGCGGGCAGCCTGTCTGGCTGCCCAGCACAGAGGAACTCCTCCCAGAACCCACCGGGCGGAGCTGGCATGTGCTGTTACAGATGGGTCCTGGGTACAGTGGAAACTGTGTGTGCTTCATTAGGCAGCACCCATCATGCACAGAGGACCTGGAGAAGTTCCTTTTTTTAATTAGCTGAAGCACTGAAAGTGCTATTTTTTGGTTCTTCCAGAAAGTCAGTGATTAGTAAAACATATTTAAACCGCAACTATTTTAATGCCTGCAGGTTTGAGGAGAGAGAATACGTCACATTCTAATGGTTCTTCCACACAGAAGGTAAGAAGAGAAAGTGCTCAGAGGGGAAGGGGCTGGGGGCTGGGTGGACAAGGGGACGGGACTGAGAAGTACAGAGTGGCAGTTTCAGAACGGTCACGGGCATGTGAGGGGCAGCCTGGGAAACTGAGTCAATGCTATTACTGTGATAACTATGTGTGGTGCCAGGTGGGGCCCGGGAGTAGCGGGGGTACACTTTCTAAAGTATTTGTTTGTCTAACCTCTGGGCTGTACCCCTGAAACTAATACAAAATAATACTGAATGTCAATGGTAATTGAAAAATAAAATTAAAAGAGAAAGAGAAAGTACACTGCATTATAAATTGAGAGATTTGTGTGGGGGTCCTGGCTCTGACCCTCTCTGGCCTCAGTCTCCCAGAAGCCACTGGTTAGCACGGAAGAAAGAATAGGAGCAGTTGAGGGGGGAGGAAGGTGGGAGGAATGGCTGATCTTCTGCAGAGCCACCAGCAGCCACCTGCCCCCAGAGGGAAGACTCTCGGACCACCTGTTGTGAACAGCTCTGTGCACCTGCACCTGCGGTCCCCACATGTGGGGGAGGGGCTCAAAGAGAAAACCTAGCCCTATACCCTTCGTCTAGACAGTGACTCAATACCAGCAGCTGAGCGTTTCCTTTTGAGCTGAGCAGCAGTGGACAAGCGATGAGGGAAGGAAGAAAATGAAACAATAATTCTTAACATGATTAACTATTACATCTGATAAAGACATCCTAAGAAAAACAATTCTGGAGAATAAATAAACTGGAAACATGAGTTTAATCCCAGACAAGAACAGATAAGAACAGATCAGAGTATGAGACGATAGGTGCATGAAAATAAAGGGGAACTTTTTGGTGGATCTGGGTTCTGCTAAGAAATCTGCACTTGCAGCCAGTTGCTCAGGGGTCGGTTTGGAAGAGCGGCCACAGCAGGCTCAGTCTCCCCTCAGTCAAGTGGTTACTTTGAACTCGAGCCAAGGCGAGGAAACACTTGTGGCGGGTTGCTGTGGCTTCCCTACGTCCTGAAGACCGAGGGCACACACAGCCCCAGCCCAGGGTGGAGACGCCGCTGTGCCTCCCACAAACGGTACACAAGGGGCGGTGATTTCGGCCATTGGTTCACTTCGCCTGCTCAGGCTTCACGTGAAAACTCTGGGTAACTGAGTAGCCTCAATGTATCAGGGAGTGAAAAGCACCTTTGTACATAGCCCCTGTAATTGGATAAAGCAACAGTATAGAACGAACATTCATGATCCTGGAAGGTTTGGTGGGAGAAAATGTGACAATGTAAGTCTGTTGTGATGGAAAGAGGTCCCTGCCCTCCGTGCAGCTGATTTTCCGAGTCCCCTTCTCAGGCAATGGCCAGATGGGAGGGGATAACCAGGCAGCAATGGCGGCTACGACCTCTGGAGGGTCTGACCACATGCCAGGCGCTGTCCGCACATTATACGTACTCACTCCTTTAACTTGCACAACCATGGAACGAGGCAGGCACTGTTATTCTTGCCACTGTAGAGATGGGAATACCGAGGGACAGAAGGAAAATAACTTGCCCGGGGTCACCAGGGGACAGAGGCAGAGCACTGATGCCAACCCGGCTTCAGAGCCTCATCTCAGCTACTGTACTAGTAACTTTCACAGATGGAGGGAGCCGCCCGGGAGGAAACCACAACCCGGTGTGCGCGCATTCATTTACGTGGTATGTCTAAAAATAAAATATCACAAAACATACTGGCTCTTAGCGCCTGCAGTGAACTGTGATCTATTCTGTCTCGGTTTCTAAGTGATGCAGCTCTCAACCCGGCAAGTGGATTTGCTGATGGGTCACCATCTTCGGTTTGAAAACCATGGCACCCGAAGCTCTCCCGCCTGTCAGAAAGCTGAAGGCGGTACACGCAGCACCCTCCACGCAAGGCAGGAACACTTCACATGCCTGGCACATTACGAGATGCTCAACAGCACTGGGTTTTCCAGGTAACCGAAACTCACTCTTGAAATTATTTTTCCCAAAACATATTTTAAGATTTTTTACATCATTAAAAAATTCTGTCCAATGTCATATGACCTTTTCAATGGCTCTGCATAGGGACCAGGGATTGTCATGTGGAATTCTCTGGAAGCATGCATAGGGCTGCCGGGCAAGGCTGGCCTCTTCTTGCCCCCACACTAAGTAGCCTCTTTGCTTTGCTGGTGATGTTCATGCTCTCACTTCAGCTTCATTTAATTCACAAGTAGTCCCTTCCCTGGAATGACACAATTTATTTAAAATAATAACAGTTCTTCATCTTGAGAGTCGCCTTGACAACTGATGAAAGTGACCAGGAAATAACCTGGGAACTCTGGGTAGTGACCGAGAACACAGGTCCTGGAACCAGACTCCTGGTTCCAACCCCACCTCCATCACTCACAATCTGTGTAACCTTGGCCAACACACGTGACCTCTTCAGTGTCCTTACCTGTGAAATGGGGATAATAACAGTACCTCACAGGGTTATTGGGAAGAGTAAGTGATCCAGTCATAGATGCAGAGCTCTTAGAGCAGCGCCTTGTGCAGAGGAAGCATTGCAGAAGTGTTTGCTGCTATTGCCATCCTCACAGCTGGCTGTGATGGTCAATGAATGATTTATTAACTGTCGTTAATCAGGAACTGCAATTGAGAGGGGCGGCCAAATCCATCCTCGTTCTCACGTTTACAGTGGTAAGTCCGCCGGTGCTCACTGGGCCACCTGTGAGGAAGTGGGATCCTTCCAACTGTGGCCCCCACTGGGCAGAGCGCCTCTCTGCGGCTGTGCTCCAGATGGTCACGGCCTTCAACAGCTAAGTTCTAGATAACTGGGGGGTGCTGCTCTCTCGCTATGTATTGGTGTTAAAAGGTAAAGAATCCCAAGCAAAGATCCTTCCTGTGGCTCCTGAGAGACAACTGGAAAAGAACACCACAAGTCTATGAAGAAGCACACATGGCAGGAGACTGAGCAACTCGGGCAGACACTGCGCCCTGCCAGGTTTTCTGGAACATTCAGAAGGCTGCTTGATCCCTGGTCACCTGGCACTCTGGCATCGCAGCAGAAGCTGTACAGGCCTCTTGGCCTTGACCTTTTCCAAAAGAGCATACTAAACGGGAAAAAGCACTGAGCTGGAATCTGAGTGCTGGTCTCTCTCACTAATGGTTCCATCCAACCATTCCACCCAGAGTGAAAAAAGCTAACATAAAAATCCAAATCCCCCCATCTCCTCTCCTCCGTGTATGTCTAAACATTTTTTCCACTGATCAAAGAAAAACACTTCCAATTTTTCAGTCCTTTGGATTTTTTTAGAGACTTTCACATCTCACATTCCATGTTTCCATTAATCAAGAAGCCTTTGTGTAGCACCTATTAAGGGTAAGACCCTTTGGGCGCCCTGGGAGTTACAGAAACCACGTGACAGGTCAACGCTGCCTTTGAGGAGCTGTAGTCTAATCCAGCAGACGACACACGTGCACACGAGAGGCAGCGGACAGCGGCAAGCAGTTCACTTAAAGGTAAATGCTTTAGGAAATCGGAAGACGCGGTGATACAAGAGCAGAGGGTGGAGAGACAGAGGAAGGTTTCACGGAGGAGTGAGGACAGGTGATGAACTTGCCCCGGTTTCCTGTGATGGAAAAACGCTGATGATCACTCCCCAAACGCCCCCTGGGCCACATCTGTTCCCCAGGTGGGGCTTACTCACCCTCGGAGCCTGCTGAGTCAGAACGTGCGTCCTAACAGGACTGCCGGTGATGCGCATGTGCAGACACGGACGCCAGGACCGGACTGGCAAGGAGGGCTCTTTCTAAGTGGACTGGACGCCCTCAGCTCCCGGTGCACGTTAGAGTACCCCCCGGGAATCTGGGACTGACTATGGTACCTT